GGAGGAGGAGGAGGAGGAGGAAGAGGAGGAGGAGGAGGAGGAGCGGCCCTTGGGAGCGCAAACGCCGCGCAATCCATGAGAGGTACAGTATTCATCCTGGTAGCGCGGACGCGGCGTAATTTACGAGGGGTCCTGGCCCTGGGGGTGGGGGGCGGGGCACGGTGCGATTTACGACAGATCCTGGCCCTGGGGAGGGGGGGGCGGACACGGCGCAATTTACACGGGATCGTTGCCCTGGAAGCGCGGACGCCGCGCTATGCAATTTACAATGGGTCCTGGCCTTTCGAGCGCGGACACAGCGTACATTACAAAGGCTCGTCTCCTTGGGGGAAGGGCTGGGCGCAGCATAATTTACAAACAAATTGAGCACCATCATTAAAAAAACGGATCGTGGCCTTGGGAGCACGGGCGCCGCAAGGGATCGTGGCCCTGGAGGCGTGACTCCAATATACTTGCCTGGAGACTCCCGCACACTGCTGGAGAATACCTGAAGATGCCTGACTCCAAGATCCCAATGATTCTTCAAACTTCCCACAGGTTCCTGGGAATTCCTGCTGGTTTCCCAGAAAGGAGTCCGCAGGATTTCGGAAGGTTCGCTGCCGACTCCTGAAGAATCTGCTGTTGTAGGCTCAAATCCCTGTGGCTCTAGCCGAAGGATTTCTGAAAGGATTCCAGCATGTTCTTGAAGGTTGCTGACAGATCCCTCGTACATTGCGCTCGTACATTGCGCTGCGTCCGGGCTCCCAGGACACGATCCTTGCAAATTTCACGGCGCCTGCGCTCCCATGACCAAGTTCAATTGGAAATGGCTGCGCCTGCGTACTCCGAGGGCCACGCTGCCTCGCAACTTACATTGCGCCCACGCTCCCATGGCCAAGATCCCTTGTGAATTTCGCTGCGTCCGCGCTCCCAGGGCCAACATTCATAGTACACTCGTACATTCCATTGTGCCCGCGGCCCCGAGAGATACGTCGGTTTTCTTACGGTTCCAAAGGATTCCTCAACATTCCAGCAGATTCCTGAAGCTGTGGGGGTCCCGAAAACCGGTGCTTGTCGGAGCAATCCAGCCTGCAGCCTGAAGGCTCACCACCGACCACCACCTACCCTTTGCCTTTTGGTGGGTGCCGCCGCCGCTGTTGCTGCTGCTTCAGCTGCTGATGGTATCCCTGGCGCTGATGCTGAAGCTCTCCCTCCTCCTCCTCTTCCTCCTCTACCCCCGCTGCCGGCGGGCGCGGCTGGTCGTGGATGTCCCCTGCTCCCTCCTCTCCCTCCCGCTGCTGGCTGTTCTGCTCGTCCTCTGCCTCCTCCTCCTCTGCCTCCTGCTGCTGGAGGTGTGGCTCTTCCTCCTCCTCCTCCTCCTCCTCCTCCTCCTCCTCCTCTTCCTCCTCCTCCTCCTCCTCCTCCTCCTCCTCCTCCTCTTCTTCCTCCTCCTCCTCCTCCTCCTCCTCCTCCTCTCCTCCTCCTCCTCCTCCTCCTCCGCTCCTCTCCTCCTCCTCCTCCTCCTCCCTCCTCCTCCTCCTCTTCCTCCTCCTCCTCCTCCTCCTCCTCCTCCTCCTCCTCCTCCTCCTTCTCCTCCTCTTCCTCCTGATCTACCTCTGCCTCCTGCTGCTGGCGGTGTGGCTGGTCGTACTGGTCCGCCTCGTCCTCCCAATCGTCCTCTACCTCCTCCTGCTGTGAGTGTGGCTGCTCGGCCACCGCTTCGCCCACCTGCGGTGGGTGTGGCGGCGCGGCCTCCTCGTCCTCCGCGGCCGCCGCCGGGGGGCGCTGCTGCCTCGGCCGCTTCGGGCGGAGCTGCAGAGAGGGAGTTCGCGCTGGCTGCCGCCTGCGCTGGCGGTGCCGGCGGGGGGGCCGCCAGGCTGCAGACTGTCCTCGGCATGCTGTTCACGCGGTGCTGCCGCCTCCATGCCCGGCCACATGTCGTGCACTGAATGCGCCCCTCGTCTGGGGCCCCCTGGGTCTGGCCCGTTTTCTGGTTCCATACCAAAGTATGGCCTCCTGGATTGTACTTCTCGTGCATCTCCCTCTCCAGCTTGTCCAGATGGGTCGTGGACTGCCGTTGTCCCTCCGTCTGCAGCCACCGCTCTTCCAGCAACTCGGCCGCTGGGCACGGCGATCCTGTAATTTTAAGCCGTACATGTTGGAGCCGCTGCACGTATCTGCCGCGTTTGCGGCACCATACGCCCTCGGCGTGTTCCGTGGGGCGAGAGCATGGCCATTTTCGTGCGTCAAGCTTCGTGGCCCGCCCTTCGGTGTATCCGAAAACCGGTCGCCGGCATGGTACGTGTGGACATGCTGGGTCCGGATGTCGACGAACATGGTCTGCAGGGCACTGACTTGGGCGACCGTAAGGGGCGAAGGGATGACTCCTGCGTATCGCACGCACATGGGCGCCTGCATGATGTCGCCGGGGAGCACGCGCAGTGCCGCTCGCCGCAGTGCTGCGTATTCACACCAGTGCCACGTGACGTGGATGACGTCCTCCTCCGTTCCACACCGGCACTTCGAGTGGCTGCCGTCGCCTCGGTGCCTGGCGTTGCGCTCGGCGGTCATGAGGCCACCGTCCAAGATGAGTCGCAGCACGCCGAGTTTCCTCCGCGCCTCGCGGGCCCCTGCGGCTCCGGCGGTCGCCCCGACTCCTGAGGATTCCTGCAGGTTTTTTCCCGACTCCTAACCAGTATGTGAAGAGTCCTGACCGTTCCTCACGCTTTCCCCCAACGACCCATCCGCGGCCCCCCCCACTTGGCACACCAGAAATGGGTACGGGAAATGGGTCGGGAAAATGTGTACGATGCCCAGTAACTAAAGTTGTCCAAGAGTGACAGCGGCCGCTCTTGGACTGGCGGCATTCTGCCTCCAATAGACGTCCGCGGCGACACCGACTGCGACCCCTGCTCAAACTAGGCAGAAACCGCTGTCGATATTCGTCCCTATGCTCTCCGTACCCACTTCAGTCTTGCCAATCCGAGGCCCTCCCCGCGACCCTCCTCGCAAACAACCCCACAAACCACCCGCGCCCCACCCAGATTTCCCTGCAGCATCCTCGTCACCCACGGCGGGCTCCTCTACAGGAGTGTTCAAACATCGCGACCTGCCGAGGCTGTGCCCTGCGATCGACCCACCCTGCTCTGGGACACCAGAAAGCGCCCACGGCTGGCTGATGGTTTTGATAGCGGCGTTCTTTACAATGGCGCTGGAGCCCCACATCCCCGACAAAGCAGCCCGCCCGCCCCCTCGCTCGCATCCGCAATTAGGGGATCACGTATTGGGTGCTCTCCATCATCATCCAAAATCTCTGCTCGGCAAGCGTCAGGCGTCCAGAGTGTGAGCATTCGTACTGAATCGGTGTCGGGTCCTCATTGGTGATGTCATGGGAGCTCTCACTCCTAAAATCGGCATCGGGGCTACCGTTGTGTTCTTTGTTGTACTGCTCTGGCTTCTGATCATCCTTCGGTGTAACTTCAACTAACCTATCGGCTGTTTCGTTTAAAAGGTAGCCTGCTTTACCGCTTCTTCCTGATCCCTCGTACTTCCTCCCTCCTCCATCCGCCCTCACTCCCTCTCTCCTCCCCCCTTCACTCATCACTGCCTCCTTCCGACTCTGCTCCGTCCGCTTCCCCTGCACCATCCCTCATTCCTTTTTCTTTTGCCCTTCGTTATCCCAGTCCTTCCAGTCATCTAGGATTTCCTATTCCTTCCTCCTCCTCCGCCTCCTCCTCCCCCCCCACATTAGTGCAGTCGGATATGTGGCGAACGACATTACATGCATGTGCCAGGGGCATCGTGGCCATCCTGCTCACGCTACTGGCCCAACGGTAGCGTATTCAATCCCAACGGCCCCATGAGCGCAGGAGGTATGACAATTCTTCTCTTCCCTCTTCCAAAGTACCGTCTTCTCCTGTACGGTGAAGGAATTGCACACCCTCCCCTGGGCCTGGACATGGGGGGGGACGCGCAAGGGGTCAGAGGGTCCTACTTGGCTCAAGACTGCGCAAGTATCGCTCCTGACGTCCAAAACTGCCCTCCAAGATGGTCAATACAGGGCACGACAGCCTCCGATACAGCTCCGACAGGCCCTAAAAAGAAGCCCCAAGACGGCTCCAAGCCTCTCCAAGGACACCCCCAAGAGGCAAGGAGATCGTCCCCCAAACCCACGAGGCGGCAGTGCTCATTGCCGTCGAGCGCACGTGGCGGGCCGCGGAGCGGAGCGGCCGCGGGCCTGCGCGCACCACGGGGGGGACCCGCGAGCCCCCCCCTGTGGGACGCCTGACCCTGACCCTGTGGGAGGCGACGTAAGTAAGGAGGCCCAGGCACACAAGGGAGAGGGGGTCTTCTCTACAGATGTTTCTAGCCAAGCCGCCCAGATGTGCTATCCCTAATGCAAAGACGGGGACCTCAATGTTGCCACGCCGTCACCGTGCTCTTAGGGGTAGGGTACCTTCCCCTCCCCCGAGCCGGCTGCGGCACTGTGCACACGCTCAAAGGCCGCGGCCGCCCACGCGGGCCCTCCCGGGGCCTCTTCCTCTGCCTCTCGCGAGGGCGCCGCGCTGGCGGCTCTCCCCCCCGCCCCCCCCCCCTTCCTCCTCTGCCGCGCCCCTCCGCCCGCGAGAGCTCAAAGAGGAACCCACGAGGGCCCCAAGAGGAGCCCAGAGAGCGTCCCAAGAGGTCATTTGCCAGCCTACGAAGGGGGAGAACCTACTTGCCGCCGCCCTCCATTTTGAGCAGTGGCTTCCACGATGACCCCAAGGGAGGCCATCCAGGGCCCCAAAGAGGAAGAGGGCCTCAAGAGGGCTCCAAGAAAGCCCATCAAGGGTTTCAACATTGCAGGATTGCTCCACGAGGTCTCTGACTTCACCATTAGTGCCATCCCTGCTTCACTGCATACTTCCATACGTCGCTCTTCCAGCCAACTCTGATGGGCATCGTTTCTGGATGGGCTGGTGGGAATACGTGAAGCATCAATCCTTTCCTGTCCATCTGTGTTTTTGTTTGTCCCGCGCCGCCTTCTCAAGATCTGCCTGTCTGGTCTGCGAATGAAGGAGGACGTGTGCTTGACGCACTCCCAGATCAGGTCCTGGCTTGCGCGCGAGTTAGACATATCGGTGCAAAAGTAAGCAGGTACGGTCAACCATATAAGTAAGGTGCAAGTCGCAGCCAAACATTGTAATAGGAACGAAACGCTGCATTGAGGCTGTCCCTGCATCAGTGTCTACCTACCCCCGTGCGTCTGTCAGGCGCCGCTGCAGGTGGTGCCACCTAAACTTGCACCTTGACTGTTGGAAAACCAAAGGGGGGGAACCGAGTCTGCAAAACCTGGCATTTTGCCACTCGGGGGAATACGACCCCGACGTCGAACGATGACCTGGAACTCGAACATCTGGCCTCTTCGGACCTGTCAGGAACACATGAACGCCATCGAATGCGCCCCTTCTGGAACCCCTCCTCTGCCTCCCCACTACTCCCAATTATTTCCCTCTTCCTGCCATGCGAAGATCCAACCGGTTCAAGAAACTTCCCCCTCCCTACACCCCTGATGGACTCCCGCGCCCGATGCAAGTTCTAAAGAAGGGAAGAAAGAGGGGAGGCAGGAGAGGGTATGGGGGGGAGCAAGAGAAAGAAGACGGACGAGAAAAAAAGCGGAAGCGAGTTGGACGAGGAAAAAGATGGACGTGGAGGAAAACGAGACACATGGGGGCGACACCGGGGAAGAGGAATGATACGCAAATCCCTCGGACGCTCTGCAAAGAACCTCCAAGGACGTACTACATACTCTCACGAAAGGCCTCCGCCTCCTCGCCCTCCCCCCCGAGTGTGGCGAGACACCCCAGCAGACCACTCCCAGGGCCCATCCCGGCCACATTTTTTTTGCCATCCACGCGCCACGATGCGAAGGCAGCCTTGCCCCAGGAGACTTGGCAGCAGGCGCGCCGCCGTTGCCACCGTTAGCAACAGCACGGCACCAAAACCAAAACAGTCACCCAGGGGCCGCATTGATCGCCTGCTGAATGGCGGAGTACTTGCGGCAAAGGCCCCTGAGACGTCCTTCAAAGATCCGTCTGGGCGATACTCGAGCTCCTTGCCGCCAGGAGTTGTGAGTGAAGTAAAATGTTTCGCACATTGCTGCATAGCGAATGTCCGTTTCAGGGCTGAGGCGGGGTGTCAGAAAAAGGAGGTGGGAGAACCAATCCATTCCATGAGGGGGAAACTCATCTTGAACCCAAGGGTTCATCATATCACGTAGAATAGGGCAGATACCATAGTGCCGTAGGCAGTCGGTAGCCCCTCTCCCATCGCAGCCAAACATAACAGGATCTCTCCGCAGACCTGAAACGGGTCGCCGTGCAAAGCCACCGGCATGTAATCCGAACCTGAGACAAGGCAAGATGCGGACCAGTGGCACGCCGAACTCTCTAGAGCCGCCACAACATGTTAGGAAATCTGTCAGGGTCAACCTCAGGGAGCCAACGGTCAATGCGGGCCTTAAGGATCTCGTGAGCACCCCGACCAGGACGCGGACGAAGACGAAGGAGAGAGGAGTAAAGCTTACGTTGAACAGCCTTCCGAGGGGTAGTGGGGGGGAAGGTGAGAAGAATAGGTGAAACCATCCCACGTGCCCTCGCCATCTTGCTGGTAATACAATCACGATGCCACCCGTTGTGCAACCTCGCAATACAACAGTCGTCAGACCTCCCGAAGGTCCGCAACGTCCCCAATTTTTGGCAGAATTCCGCACAGTGTTCGGCACACCTAGCACGGGCAGCAATGCTAACGTACGGGAGATGCTTGAGGCTTGTGCCACCCCCACACACACTGATATTCTCAAGTAATTCAACAGGCATCGCATTCCACGGCCCATTGGTCAAGAGCAGGGCACATCGGCGATACGTGGCGAGCAAGGACTGTGGCGGCGCATAGAACTGCAGCACATACTGCAGCAGCGAGAAGCAAAGCGTGTGAAATGTACGTATACTGAGAGCCAGTCCCAGGCCTGCACGTCGCACATCAATTGTGCGGTCAAGCAACCGCCCATCCCGGCCAAATTTGGGGGCGGCGTCCGGCCGTGGCCACGAGAGATCCCTTGAAAACGAAGGCAACATCAGGGACAAAAGCAGGATAAGGACACATCGGGGATCTCGGAGACCTGGCGGGCCTGGAGGACGCATCGGGCCGCAGCCGCCCCATGGCGTTCCGCAGCGATGGGGGCGATCCATCCTCATCCCAAGCCTACCTGACGCGGCCAAGGCCACCAGAGCCCCCCAATCGTTTCCCTCCCTGAATCTCCACCGGTATAAGTTCAGTCCTGGCGTTTTTTTCGTGGACTTCGGATTCAAACGCCCGTTGCCCAACCCTGGGGCCATGGCGAAAACGCTCCTCCTGGGGGAGATGCGGGGACCTTTGGAACCAAACATTCAAGCGAATAAAGGGGAACAGACGCGGCATGCAGCAGCAGCGGCCGCACAGAAAGAAAAAGGTACAATAGTTCAGGCTAACAGAGTAGCCCGCCAGGGCACGCAAATAATTCGCAAAATTTAATCAATACTTGGCGTGGGACTCGCTCGCTTTCTCGCCGAGCCATGCATCCAGAGGGGCGTGTCGGCAGACCCAACGATGCGTCGTTGGCAACGTGGGGGGGGGGCATAAGATGCGGCTCGGCAGCAGCAGCAGGGGCACCAAATCGGCCAGATAGGTTCGCCGGCGCAAATGGGAAGGAGGGAGGAGGACGAATTCAGATACAACGGTCTTCCAAATAATACACGGATGTAACCCTTTGCTGTCTAGGGCGACCTCGGTGTCATTCAAGCGCAAAATTATTCGGTGCGCAGTTAGCATTGCATACGACGCGTTTCACTAAACAATCATTATCTGAGGAAGCGATTTCCTTATATAAATGAATATAAATGAATTTGTCCGCCAAGAAGATCGATCGCGGTGGAGGCCGAGCCCGCTCAAAGACAAATTTGTTCGATACTCTTGACTAGAAACAACTTATGTTGTCACATATTTAGCGAAGACATCGACAATGAAAAGCATCAAACGTTGCTTGATCTGCGTGCAACAGACAGGAAGGGCACAGATAATCCGACAATTTGCTCACCACGCAACTGCTGTAGCTTTCGAACTTCCGCCGCCTACCCACTGAAGCGCGTGCCCATTGTTTGCGCCATTGCTCGGAAATGTTCGTGCTCTCCCCAAGTTCTGCGGGAAAACTCGTTCCCCGCCGCCCCATCGCAGCTCAATGTTGGTCCAATGTGCACGTATTCCCCGGCTGCCTCGACGCGCTTACTGGGCGGCTGCGCGACGATGTTTTCCGCGGGCGTTTGCCCCCGATGCACTTTTTTCCTGATTGAGTTCCGAGCCATCTGTTTGGCCGCCTGATAAGATTCCTCCCAAGATTGCTTGCGGATGCTTGGCGATGGCCGATATAAAGAAAGTATCGCCTGCATGCAGAACGCCCCGCGTGACGACGCGAGGCGGCCCCTCGCCCAACTGCGCGGCGTCGGAGCAATCGTGCATCGCCGCAGTTTGCGCGGCGACCGACGAATCTGGTGGAAATGGGCAGCCCAGCGCAGCGCCTTCGCGATGACCTGTCTGTGGATTGTCTGGCATAGTCGATGATGATGATGAAGAAACACTTCGAGTAGATACTGGCCACCATGTCTACTATGAGCGATGGCAGCCCGAACCTCCGCATAACGGAAAATAGACAATCCGGCATTCTTTCGCTCAGTCCAGCATGAGCATCATGATGCCGCCGTTTCTTGTTCTGGCGCGCTGCGTCAATGATTCGGCGCGCAGGCTGGGGGGGCATCAGCCGCGCCCTGGCGTGGTCTGAATCCAAGATGAGAAGGCCGCATGCCTTGTTCAGCACCTCCCTGAACTATGTGGCGGTGTAGCATGCTAGTCATAGCTTTACAACCAAACGCCAACATAAGTATCGGCCTGTTATCTCTAGGCAAGGTAAAGCACCCCTTCTCGCACAACATCTGCACGTTCGCCCACCTCCGGGCACCCGGCATATCTGCGCACGCTGAACATGTTTAGCACTGAGTCAACAGCGTCGCGCGCGCGTCGACATATTGGCCCAAAACGCTCCCAAATTATGGTGGTATGTCGTTTGGCCAAGCGGATTTCCCCTGCCCCATTGCCCCGCGCGCCGACTGAGGCTCGCGAAAAGCAGAAGTCGAAGCATCAATCAACAATTCTGCACCCAACGGCTCTGCGCGCGCCGCGCAGACCTCTGCGACGCGCGCCCCCGACCGACGCCTTCAGAATGCTCGGCCAAGGGCCAAGGCGTCTGGACTGGCCGCGGCGTCGGCCAGATAAATTCCGCCCCGAGTCTTTCGCGCCAGCGCGTTTTGGAGGACGTCGCTTCTGCAGTTGCCGCGTTGTTCCCCAGCTCCCGCCAGCCGGTTGCGCGATCGCCGAGTTCGACCGATCCCGTCCCCCAGCTTGTCGGGGGCGTCAGTTCGATAAATTCTTCTCCTGCAGCCCTGCGTGGTCGACGAGCATCTCCCTATTCGACCGGCGCAAGCAAGGCCCAGAAACCCACGGTCGACAAGGGGCTCTCCGCGCCGGCAGCGGTTCTCCAGTCGCCGCGGCGAAAGTTTTATCAGCCCGCGCCGATGTAGCCCCCAGCGAGGCCGGGGCCGGAGATGACGCGCCAGTCTCGGCGAATTTAAGAGCGAGACTTCTCTGGGCGGTTGGGCCTCAGAGCGCGCTGGCCCCCTTCTTCGGCGCACTGGCCCGTGAGGAACGTTGGGGGGCAAGTCCCATAATGCTGCGAGCACGGAAGCGGCGGCCGCTCAACGCGGCGGCCCCCGGAAGACCAGCGCCCCTCCGCGGAGTCGCGGGCGGAGTCGCGGCGAAGCGCGCGGTCAATCTGGGAGACGAGATCGGGGGGGTCGAGCGGGGAGGTTGCACCCCCTTGTTCTGGCGCGCATTCCTGCCCCCGCCTTTGCCCTCGAAGAGCACGCTCGCGACCGCCGCGTCGCAGCTGGCGCGCGCCTGCGCCGGCAGGCGCCAACTCGCAACTTGCGCGGGCCTGCTGACTGTCGACCCTGCTCGAAAAATGCGCTCTCCGATAATGTGCCCCCCACCTGGCTCGACGCGCCGCATTTGGCGTCGAAGTCGCCCGCGCTGGGCAGTTGAACTACGCCGCGTCGTTAGCTCGACGCGCGCGCCGAGGCTCGCGCAAAATAGCCTTCGCACTTCTGCGTCGCGGCCGCCGCGGGGGGCGCGCGCAGGGATGGTCGTCGACGCGCCTCGGGCAATTTCGACCCCGGGCGCAGCCGCCCCGGCTGATCGCCCAGGGGGCGGCGACCCCTGCGCGCAACGAAAATGACGCGATGAGCCATGCTCCTGCGTTCGCCCGGGATCAGAGTTTGCTTCGGCTGAAAATCAGCGCAATATTCTGATCCGCGCGAATCCATTTCGCGCGTGCAGAGCGCGTTGACGCCGCGGACTTCCACGCGCTGGATACTCTCCGCCGCGTTAACTCGCGCATTCCCGCGCCGACCCCCAGCGCCCCGCGTTCCGGAGCGCATTGTCGCAAGTGGAACAGATGTCTTCTTGGGTCGCCCCCGCGAGCCCGGAAGTCCCCCCGGCCGCGGCAGAGCCGCCGCCGAAGTAGCTCCAGTTGCCCAGGCGCTGCCCAGCGCGGGCGGGGCCTGCATAATGTCGGGGCCCGCGTGCTCGCGCGAGCCAATCAGAGGAGACGGGTGCCCTTTCGCGTCGCGCTGCTAATCGGAATCACCATGCGAAGTTAACTGCGCAAACTCAAACGAGCTCTCTGCAATGATATGTTTGCCCGTGGCAATCAAGGAACGCGGATAAGAATAACAAACGCGCTGACTGAGTAACGGGGTATTCGACAGCGTCGGCTCGTCCATGGGGCGATCGGTGTAACTCTCGTGGCACTTGTGGCTGCTTAGGAACTTTGCCCAAGCCCATCCGTCCCTCTGGTATTGATGTTTCTGCGATGGGGCGACGTTCTGGATGACTGGCACCCGAACCCAAATCGGCAGGTCGCTCGGTGGCTCTGTCCGGAAAGCCCGCAACGGTTACATACTCAATTGGAAGATCACGGAAGTAGTGAAAATGAGGAAACAAGAAAACAACTGCACTTACCCAACATCTTCGGCAACGGGCATGGCACCTGCCGCGTTTCCTGGAAAGCCCGCCATTCCTTGGAGCCCCCTTTCATGCCAGTAATAGGTTTAGCCAGTCAGGCATCGTATGTGTTTTTTTTCTCGACGCCGGCATCCCCCACTCCATCAGCAACTTCACGCAGATCGCGAACCCACCTGCGCACAACTCAATGTGCATCGACCAGGCTGTATAGACGTCGTCTCGGCCAAAATGGCACTATGCAGGGCACGGGAAAAGCGTGGACCAGGCGTCGCATGTTTGCAGCAATTCTTGAAATACGCCGCCCTTTGGATGGTCGCCCCGGTTGTCCCAGTCTTCGGCCCAGACGCGCATGAGCGGCGTGCCGTCCACAGAGATCGTCACAGCAAGCTCCTCGCCCACCCGAAGTTCAAATGGCAAAGTGTCCGTGACGTTACAAATCTACGGCATCTGGAACATGCCTTTCGGATGACATTTGAAACCGAAGCAGAAGTCAAGTGCTGCACGTATTGCTTGGGGGCGGTCCGGCGACGCCCAACTTGCCTTACCATCTGTTGATGTGTTTCGCACGGTCGATCAAACCCACCGCGCTGTCCCGGTCCAGCAACTCCGCGAACAATATGGTGGTAGCGTTGCCTTTTTATGTACACGTTGTGCGAGAGCGGGCCAAACGCAACCGATACTTGTTTTCAGAGCCATGTCGCGGCCGTGTTGGACAAAATAAACCCTTCCAGCTTGCCGAACACTCCTTTGACAGAGCATTTTCCGCCTGAGTCTGGACTGGTACTTGCTTGATGATCTGTGGGAGGGCACCGTTGTTTCTCAAATGGCAATATCTGGCTCCAAATGTGGTATGTTTGCTTGCGCATATGTACCACATGACGCTTCAGAGGCTCATCCCGAAGCCGGCCTGGACGTGTAGTTCGCCTCAAATAAATAAATATATGGGTCAAGTTACCCAGATGTTTTTTTTTTTCTGCGGGTTGATGGCCATTTGGCGGTCATGTTGTGAAACACCATGTTGCTTAATAAGTGTTGTAACTTTCTGGGTCGGGTCCAGCTGCTCATTCAAAATGTTCCAGGACATGCCTGTGCTAAGTGCTTTGGCGTACGCAAGGATTTGACCTGGACCAAGATACATAGGTGGGCGACCTTTGACACATCCCAACGGTTCCGACCTATTGCTGTCAAGCGTGCCGTCGCCATCCATCTCGTGAAGCGGGCTGTGGATCCTGTGTTGCTTTGCTCTCCTTGTAGGCGGTGTCGAGGGGGAGGCCTTGCGTAAGTGCCTGGCCGGGGCACCTGGCATGTGAGAGTCGCCCGAAGAAGATATCGATGTGGTATCGAATGTAAGGAAGACAGGAGAGCGGACGACAGTGACGATTAGGATATGGGGAATGGCTTGAGCCAATATGGCTTAAGCCTACTGGGCGCATACCCAATCTCTCCCCCCTCTCCCCTCCTCCTGTTCAGTGCGAGCTCCCGATGAGGTTCCACAGCCGTAGTGGGCGAGCATGCACAGAAAGCAAAGCAGAGAGGACCAGGGGGAGGAGGAAAACGAGAACGAAAACGAGGGATATGATAGACTAAGGCACTGAGGTGCCTAGGGCCTTCCAGCCCGAGGCTCCTCCTCAGCCTCCTCTTCCATCGCTTTTCCTGTTGGATACCTCATCCCTGTCGCCCCCGCAGATGTGTCGGCAACGTAGTTGCCAAAAACGGCAACCCCACAAATCGGATGCTTACGACTCTGGCCAATACCAAACAGAAAAGGTACAGCCAAATTGGCTCCAATCGCGCGAATTGGCTGCTTATACCTCTGGCCCAACTCTGGTCCGGCCAAATTTGGTACGAGTTTCCATTTGCGGTGTCCTCCCTCCCCCTCATCACCCTCCTGCCTCTTCCTCCTTCTCCGCTTCTGCCCCCGTCCCGTTTCACCTTAGACCCCCTCGCTGAAAACCCTGATGCTTGAAATCAACCACAGGCCCAATGATAGAACCATGTTGTCTTCAACATTGGATGTTCGTCTTAGCACCGCGCACATCCGTCTTAAAAACTTGCGCAATCTACACGGGTAGAGGGGGTGTCGTTTTAAAGATGGGGCTCTCGCCTCGGCGCTGCGCGCAATCGTCATGAAAGCTGGTAGGAAATACATGGATGGAAAATGTGTCCTTCCGAAATTCGGCTTCCGCCTTAGTGCCGCGCGCATTAGCTTTAAACGTTTGCAGCAACTACCTGGGCAGGGTCTCGCCCTTGCACCGCAGCTTTTCGTCTACAGAGCATGCAAGAGCTACGCGGATGGAGGGCGGCTCCTTTTCGAGATAGAGCTCTGGCTTGAGGCCTCCTCTAATGACATACCAGGAGTTTAACACATGCAGCAGCTGTACGGATGGAGCGCGGTTCCTTTTCAAAACGAAGCTCTCACCTCGGACCCCCTCGGGATCCATGACCATGCATACGAAACACATACCAGCGCAGTAGTTACACGGAGGAGGGGCGGTCCTTGCAAAAACGGGAGTGTCGCTAGATACCTCGCTGCACGGTAGGATCACACCTCATTGAACGCTGGGAGGATGAAAGGCGACTCCTTTGCAGAACGGGACCCTCGCCCGACTGGCAGGCCCATGAGGTGCTGTTCATTTAAGCGGGGGCGCCTCCTTCAGCAAAAGTGGGAGCCTGCAAAGCCTCATGGTAAGGGGACTTGGGGCGGGATGGTGTGCTGGAGCATCGCTGATGCATCTTGGGTTTACTCTGGTCCTCTTCCTCCTCCATCTCCTCCTCCTCCTCAACGCCCAAGGCCGTGCACGGCGGCAGTAAAACCGAAGATCGACCAAACTGACACGGACACCGAAACAAAACGAAACCAGCCGGCCGCAAGCACCCTAGAAGGGCGCAACGGCGCGGCAACGAAACCATCACCGACCGAACCGACTGCGACGCAACCGGACCGACCGAACCGCGAACACCCTTGGCTGACCCCGGCAGGTCAATGCAAGCCTGGGTTAGTCAGCAAAGCAAGCCTGGGTTAGTTCGGCTTTGCAGGATCCTGCGCTCTTACCCGAACATCAATGCACCCCTAACCCTGCAGGATCCTGCAAGATCCACCGCTCTGGCTGACCCGCGTTTGCATTGACCCCCGTCTCTCGGTCTCTCGATGCTCCCGACGGGCGCGGGGGGCGCGGCGTCCGGGGGCGCCGCGCCAGATGGCCTCGGGGTCGGGCAGCCCGGCCGGGAGTGGGCGAAGGGTCCATGACGGGGAGGCCGACCCCCCCATGACGGGGGTGCCCCCCGTCAGACGCCGTCAGATCAAGATGGGGACACGGATCGAGGGGGGGGATGTGCAGCCAACGCGTAGAATAAGGAGGCGCGATGAGGATGCACGGGCCTTGGAAGGCCATGTCGACACCTGTCGAGCGGGGCGCGGCCAGCGAAAGTAGCCAAGAATGGGCCGAAGGGGCAAGGATGCAAGGGCAACCTTGAGGCATCGCCCGTCCTTACTGTGCGCTATGACTGTAGCTTCAGATGGGGACACGGATCAAGGGGAGGACGTAAGATCAAGCTGAGGATCACCGACGCCTCATCCTGCCCCCCCTTTCGGGGCCTAGGCCCCAGGAGGGGGTGGCATGGTAAGAAGTCGGAGAGACGTAAGACTAATATCAGGACCAACGGAAGAGAACGTCAGGAATACATATAGAGAGAGAGTGAGAAAGAGAGAGAAAGAGAGAAAGAGAGAGAGAGAGAGAAATAAAGAAAGAGGGAGAGAGGAAAAACGAGAGAGAGAAACAACAACCAGAGCGGGCAAACGGGCGGCCTTAGCACCCGCGAACCTCCACGACTCCGCCGTCGCGTCGACGGAGACGCAGGGCGTCATCCGAAAAATGACGAGGCCTGGTCTGAAGTATGACCAGAACTCCAGCTGCAAACATCTCCCGAACACTGCAATATGAACGCCCGAAATGGGCACGGAAAACATGGGTACAATGCCCAACAACAAATGTTGTCCCAAACCAACAGCGGTCGCTGTTGGGCAGGCGGCCTTCTGTCTAAATGGACACAGGCCGCGGCGGCGCGTACAGCGAGTCCTGTTCAAAATGAACAGGAACTGCTGTTGGGCATTGTACCCATTCTTTCAGTAACCATTTCGTTCGCGCAAGTGCAACCCTAGCTCTGCAGGGTCCTGCAACATCTGGGCCTCTGGCTGACCCCCGTTCGAATGGACTCCCATCTCTTGAGCCCCGAGACTCGCTGGTCGTCCCGTCACTGAGGCGGGCCGTACCACGTCGCGAGCCGCCCCCCGACGGCGGCAGTGAAGCGGGACCGCCCGGACCAAAGGTGCGCACAGAGTGGCGTAACAGTGTGGGCGTAACGGATCGGACCTCCAGCTGATTGGAACATTATCTTGGCGAAGGACCCCACCAGATGCACTTGTGGGCAACGCGTTGTGGGTGCCGCTTTCGGTGGAACTCCCTATCGGGCCACGAAGCGCGTGAGAGACGTGCCGTAATGAGTGGGGGGGACGCATGCGGGCGGTGCCACTGGGGCCTTCGGTGGGGCTCCCTGTGGGCCACGAAACGCTGTCCTGGGTGTGGCTGACGCATGCGGGCGGTGCCCCTCGCTGGAGCTCCCGATGAGGCCACGAAACGCTGTATTGGTCGGGGGGAACGCATGCGGGCGGTGCCGGTGGGGTCTTTCTGTGAAGCTCCCTACGGGGCCACGAAACGCTGCACTGGGTGGTGGCAGACGCATGGGGCGGTGCCACTGGGACCTTCGGTGGAGCTCCTTATGGGGCCACGGGAGGGGGGGAACGCACGCGGACGTTGCCACTGGGGGCTTCGGTGGCCACTGGAGCTCCCTATGGGACCACGAAACGCTACACCAGGTGGGGGGGACGCATGCGGGTGGTGCCACTGGGGCTTGGTGGAGCTCCCAATCAATGGGGCCGCGAAATGCAGTACTGGGTGGTGGAGGACGCATGCGGGCGGTGCCACTGGGATCTTTCTGTGGAGCTCCCTACGGGGCCACGAAACGCTGTACTGGGTGTGGCGGACGCATGTAGCCACCCCCACTGGGGCCTTACGTGGAGCTCCCTATGGGGCCGCGAAACGCTGTACTGGGTGTGGCGGACGCATGTGGCCACCCCCACTTCGGCCGCAGGCGGAGCTCCCTATGGGGCCACGAAGCGCTGCACCTGGTGTGGCGGACGCATGTGGCTACCTCCATGGGGGCCGCAGGTGGAGCTCCCGATGGGGCCACGAAACGTTGTACTGGGTGTGTCGGACGCATGTGGCCACCCCCACTGGAGCCTTACGTGGAGCTCCCTATGGGGCCGCGAAACGCTGTACTGGGTGTGGCGGACGCATGTGGCCACCCCCAATTCGTCCGCAAGCGGAGCTCCCTATGGGGCCGTGAAACGCTGTACTGGGTGTGGCGGACGCATGTGGGCACCCCAACTGGGGCCTTCTGTGGAGCTACCTATGGGACCACGGAGCGCTGTACTAGGTGTGGCGGAAGCATGTGGCCACCCCCACTGGGGCCTTACGTGAAGCTCCCTATGGGGCCACGAAGCGCTGTACTGCGTGTGGCGGACGCACGTGGCCACCCCCACTAGGGCCTTACGTGGAGCTCCATATGGGGCCACGAAACGCTATACTGGGTGTGGCGGACGCATGTGGGCACCCCAACTGGGGCCTTATGTGGAGCTACCTATGGCACCACGAAGCGCTGTACTGGGTTTGGCGGACGCATGTGGCCACCCCCACGGGGGCTTACGTGGAGCTCCCTATGGGGCCACGAAACGCTGTACAGGGTGGGTGAAACGCATGGAGGAGGAAGGAGGGGGGAGAGGGAGGAGGGAGGAGGGGGAGGAGGAGATGAGAGGAGAGGAGAGGAGAGGAGAGGAGAGGAGAGGAGAGGAGAGGAGGGACGCAGGGACCGTCTCTTCAAAATGAGGACCCTACACCACAAGATGGTTGGGAAAACAACACGGTGTTTTCCTTTCTTCTTCTTCCTCCTGTGTAGCAGTGCCTCACAGGCACATCCTACCCTGCCCACTGCCACATGTCATCGCTCACTCACACCCAATGCCGTCGTGAAAGATACTTCGAACGCCGCGCCAACTCCAACACGGTGTCTTCATTTTCCTTGTCCTTGCCTCCTCTCAGACATGCACGCGTCGAGAAGAAAAGAACACGACGGGCCATGTTACACAATTTTCGGGCTCAGGGGGGCCTTCGCTGGGCCCCGGGCCCGTCCAAAACGGCTCGGGACGAACAAGCCGGCTCTGTGGACAGGTGGCACGCGTTACAGCCGAGATCCATGACCAGGATGCCAAGAGCCCTTGGGAATCCGGGTTTCAACGATCGGCGAGTCAAAGCTGTCTACCGAGGCCGAAGTATAAAGGGCAACAAATCCACCCCCATAAGAACCACCCCGACAAGCAAAACCATTTCGTAAACGCACCCGAGGAGGGAATCGAACAGGGCAGGGCTTTTAGTGAACGCCCAAGGCCGTTGAGCAAACACCAAGTGTCCGGTCAGGGTGGTTTTCCTCCCTTGGAAGAAGGACAAGGACGCCCCATCCTTTGAGGGGCAACGATAGGGGGGGACTGGTATAGGGGGGATGCATCGACTCAGAATCGGCGATACATCGCCGATTGATCGGCGATAGGCCCCCGATGGCAAATCCGACCCTTCGCCGATTGATCGGCGATAGGCCCCCGATGGCAAATCCGACCCTTCCTGGGCAGGTTGGGCCATCGGGCCCCTATCGGCGATCAATGGGCGATTGGAAGTCGATGCATCGCCCCTATGCCTAATTATCCCCCCCTATCGTTACCCCTGATCCTTTCGGCGGTGGACAAACCTACCTTTAGTAAACCTCCCCTTAGTGAAAACGGCCTGGGACCGAAACCGACGGACCTGGACCCGCAAAAATGACAGCCGCGACGCCCTCTCGCGAACCGAGAACGGCCAATTCCTGAATCGACGTGTCAGGGTAGGAGGTCTATCCACATCCGATCCTTACTGGGGGGCCCAGCTGTGCTCAGCTCGCGTCGGCGTGACCTAACGGGGTTTCGGGTCGGGCGAAAGGGAGGGATAGCAAAGGGCGGGTTTGAGAATCAGCTCACGTAGCTGATTTTCCCGGCGCCTCCCGGCGCCGGAGGCGGCCATATATCGAGGAATGGGCCCCTCGGTGAGGCCGAAACCAGCTGCATGCAGATTTCGTAACCCCCCCTTTCCCAATCCCCCCCTTTCGTCCGGCCCGAGGGGTTCTGGATGGAGCAGGTCCCGGACCCTCGGGCGCTCCAGGGCACCAGATCTTCATTCCGAGCCGTCTTTGCATGGCCCCAGGGGTCCCCGGGTGCCGTAGGCGACCCGAGGGGGAGGGAGGAGGAGGAGGAGGAGGAGGAGGAGGAGGAGGACTAGGAGGAGAGGAGGAGGAGGAGGAGGGGGAGGAGGAGGAGGAGGGGAGGAGGAGGAGGAGGAGGGGAGGAGGAGGAGGAGGAGGAGGAGGAGGGGGGGAGGAGGAAGATGAGGGGAGGGGGAGGGGGAGGGGGGAGGAGAGGAGGAGGAGGAGGAGGAGGAGGGGAGGGGAGGAAGGAGGAGGAGGAGGAGGAGGGGAGGAGGAGGAGGAGGAGGAGGAGGAGGAGGAGGAGGAGGAGGAGGAGGAGGAGGAGGAAGGAGGAGGAGGAGGAGGAGGAGGAGGAGGAGGAGGAGGAGGAGGAGGAGGAGGAGGAAGGGGGAGGAGGAGGAAGAGGAGGAGGAAGAGGAGGAGGAAGGGGGAGGAGGAGGAGGAGGAGGACGGGTCGCCCAAGCCCTTCGGAGAAACCCGAGTCCAGGAAGGGCTTCGGGGACCTCTCCGAGCCGCCTTCTGGCGGCCACGGCTCCGGGGAGGGCTCCGGGAAGCCCCGAGAGGGGGGCCCGGGACCTCCAGGACCCGTCCCTTCCCGGCCACGCCTCCTTCCTGCTGCTCAGGGCAGGGGCCGACGGACCGAGAAGGCGCCCGCGCAGATCGGCGGCGCGCCCGAGAGCGCGGCGCCACACGGGGAGGGGGGCCTTCCAAGAGTGCGCCAGGGGGGCTCCCCGAGGACGGCAGGGGGGGGCTCCCCAGGAGCACCCCTGGCTTCTGAAGAGCCGTCGTCTTGGAAGCCTCCGCGCCCTTCTCGGGGGGACACAACAAAGGTACCGATGTACTGCGACTCCCTCCAAAGAGAATCCAGCCGTGGCCACGAGGGCTCTCCAGGACGACCAGCGTCACCGGTATCTCTGCCTCCCCCGATCCCGAGAAGCCCTTCGCCCCCTCTGAGACGGCGCCCCCCATCGTGCCACCCTCGGTGATCCTCAAGACGTGTGTTAGCGCCAGCGCGTGCTGTAGAGGGCAAACAACCCAGCCCCATAATAACCACCCCGACAAGCGAGGCCGTTTAGTAAACGCACCCACAGAAAGAATCGAACATGGCAGGGCAGATTAGAAAACGCCAAGGGCCGTTTAGTAAATCCCAATTGTCGGGTCCGGGTGGTTTTGTCCTCCTTGATGCTTGCCACGGAGGACCCCTTCACACGACGCACGCGGCGCAAACAGGGCGGACACGGGCCGCACGTCACAGGCGGAGCCGAACGGGGTGTCCTCGGGGGAACGAACAGTGACATGAACATCAAAACTCGGAGGTCCGCGCGGACCTCCGAGCTTCTTCATGTCACTATTCGCCCCCCGAGTCCCGAGGATCATCGACGCCCCGGAAGGGGCGAGCCACGGAGCGAGGGCGAGCCGCGACGGCGGGGCCCGCGGGGGCCGCGCGCTCGGCCTCGGCAGCTTCCGGCCCTGCACCTGCCGCCCTCCCCGCGCCCCGCGGCGCCGCTCGGGGAGGCATCGCGGAGGGGGCCCGTGCCGGGATCCCCGGGGGGACGGGGGCGCAGGGTGTACTTCGCTGGGCCCAACCGAAAATGCGCGGCGCTGACGCGAGAGCCACAGTTTGAAAACGGCCCGCCCTCCAACCTTAAAAGGTGTTGCAAGGAAGTATGTGCACGGCGCTACGACGAGAGCCATATGTTGAAAACGGCCCGTCCTCTATACGTGAAGCTCCTGCACATTTTAACGAATGTGCACGGCACAAAGGCGCGAGCCCCCCATTTTGCATAGGGCCCACCCTTTATCCTTGAAGCTGTTGCCAGTCTCAAGCTTCGGGTCATCAATGGTGAAAGCGCCTCGGGCGACATGCCTGGCCGTCCCTATCGGCAAGCCAGGAGGTGCGACAGGGAGGACTTAGCTATAAGGAAAAAAAGGGCTGAGGAGGAGGAGGGCGACGAAGCTACAGAACACGGCGACGAGGACGAGCAGGGCAGGAGCGACCGCGCGGATGGTACATCGATCGCGTGCAGCGGAAGCCCGTGCACCTCTCCGCTGATGCAAGAACAACGCGTGGTTTTGGGTGGATTTGCTCAAATGGCTGACCAGTCCTGAGCCAAACCAGCGACGGAAAACTCAAAAGTACATCAAGAAGCGATATGTTCACTCTTACGATGCTCTGGCCTCGAACGGATTGTCCGACGACTCGTTTCCAGCCGAGTCGATGGGACAGTAGCGGGGAGGGGGGAAGAGGCAGTAGAAAAATGTGTCCCGAAGGAAAAAAACATGAAAACCGCCGACCGCCGCTTGCCGCTGCTGGCAAAGCATGTCAGATGCGTGGCTGATCTCTCCACCGGTGCCCCGTTCTGGGTCCTGGGGGTCCCAGCTATTGTTTCGGGGCGGGGGGGGGCTCGACCTCGACAACGCACCTCCCGTGCTCTAAGTGCAGATTTAAGTAGCCCAAGACGGCCTTCATGGCATGCCCCATGCTATCTCGAGAAGCTCCCAATATAATCCCAACAGTCCCGATAGTCCCCTGAGGCAATTCAAAAATGGCCTGGATACCTCCGAAGGAATTACACGAGAGGGCAGAATCATTCCCGTCTCGCCACTTGGGCTTCGGAGGTCGCAGAAACCTTCAGAAAAAAACACCTATGGCTCAAAGGGACCTGAAAGGGACCCAAGATATCCCAAACTGGCACAAGAGTGCCCGCCCCAAGGAGTCTTCTACAAAGTAGAAAATTCCAATGCCCCCCCAAAAAAACAACAAAGGGCCGCCACGGAGGCCGCCGGGATGCCAAGACCACAGAAGCCAAGACCGGAGCACAACAGGGCCCAGTAGAAACAAATGATAGTGAGGAAGAGGAGGAAAACAAGAGCAAACGCAGCTTGCATCACCGATGCAGCAACGCCCCCGCCCGTCCCAAATTCCTTCCACATGCGCCCATGGAAAGAATCCATTCCACCGCAGGAAGCGCACGCCTTCAATGACAAGCGCCCGGTGGGTCTGCCAATCAGGCAAACAACCATGTGGTAAGGATCCACCATCCTTTTTCGACAATAATAAATGCAATCAGCTGGGATGATACAGCCCTAAGACATATCCAGCGGAAGAAAACGCACATGCTAGAACACCTCGGAACTCGAAGCCCTGAACACATCCAAACTTGGCCCTCGAACCACATCAAAATGGAAGGAGGAAAAGGAGGAAGGGGAGGAGGCGGAGGAGGAATAGGAGGACGAGGAGGGGGAACAGGAGGAGGAGAACGCGGAAAAAGAGGAGGAGGCTGAAGGGGGGGGAAAGGAGGAGCGCGAGGGAAGAGTCCCAAACCCGACCATCCTGCTTTCCCGCCCCAACCCGGCGGGCCTCCTCAACGATAGTGCCAGAAACCAAAGCGGGAGGAGGAGGTTGAGCTGGGGGGAGGAAGGAATGGGAGAAGAAGGAGGAGGAGGAGGAGGAGGAGGAGGAGGAGGAGGAGGAGGAGGGGAGGAGGAGGAGGAGGAGGAGGAGGAGGAGGAGGAGGAGGAGGAGGAGGAGGAGGAGGAGAGGAGGAGGGGAGGAGGGGAGGTGGGGGAGAGGGGAGGGGGAGGAGGAGGAGGAGGAGGAGGAGGAGGAGGAGGAGGAGGAGGAGGAGGAGGCGGAGGTGGAGGAGGAGGAGGAGAATGAAGAGGAGGAGGAGGAGGAGGAGGGAGGAGGAGGAAGAGGCGGAGGAGGAGGAGGAAGAGGAGGGCGAGGCGAGACGAGGCGAGCGCGCGCCGCCAGTTTGGCGGGGCCGGTCCTCAGGGGGCAGCGCGGGGAAACCAAAACCCTCACGAGACACGTCGGCGGCGGGAATTGGAAACGGAATCGGAGGAGGCCGTAGCCGGAGAGGAGGGAGAGGGAAAGGAGGAAGAGGAGGAGGAGGAAAAGGATGAGGAGGAGGTTGGGGGGAGATTGGAAGGAGGAGGATGAGGAAGAGGGGGATAAGGACAAGGAGGGGGATGTTGGGAGAATGACGAGGAGGTGGACGAGGCGGAGGAAGAGGAGGTCGGGAACAAGAGGAGGAGGCGGAGGAGGAGAAAAAGGCAGGAGGAGGGATGAGGAAAGAGGAGGGATGAGGAATGATCCGGACTCCCGTTGGCGGTGAGAAGCGGGAAGAGGGCAGGCGGACAAGAAGCGAGAAGAAGACAAACCAGAAGAGGGCAAGCAAACAAGAAACGAAAAGAGGGCATATCCACTATCCTGAAATCAACGCACGATCAGCTAAGCAGCGAGAGTGACGGACCTGTAAAATAGAAGCGGAAAACAAAGGTGCACGCTGTCGGGTCTCCTGAATATCTGTCGGACACGAGCATGCATGGAGCGGCGGAACACGTCCAGCAAGTCAGATTCACGAGAGCGCATTCGATGGTATGTTACAACTAGCAAGCCAATGGCAATGGCAATGGAATTAAGTTCCTCAGGACGAGACCATTCGAACTTCAAGTGCTGGAGATGGTGCTCACGGCAATCACGATCGACAAAGGAACGCGGAATCAGGAGCAACAGATGAGACAGGCAGCAGGGAGCGGGATAGCAACAAAAAAAGCAATGCGATCACAAGCGGGCTGGGAACATCCGAAGCGACGGGCAACAGTGGGCTGGCGGTACCTCGAAAAAGTAACCCATAACCCAGCCGTTGCATAGCGCCTTGGGAACGTTGCCCACGATGAAAGCAGGCGCACGAGGTGCCGATAATTGCAGTCGAGTCAAACAGGTCGTAGCACCATTGAGGTCGCAGCGATCTTCTCCTTGCTAGTATCTCATGAGAGCCAATGGGCATGGGACGACACTTCGCTTGAGGGGCGACAGGAGACGGACCGCCTTGCCTAGGAAGCTTTTACAACAACGATCAGTAGGACGGCCAGGGATCGATGACAAGGTCTTCCAGTTGCGCTGAAGCTGAAAGGGCAGACTCTCCTGTGCATGTCCGAGCAGACTATGGGTCAACAGCCAGTCCGCGCCCCCCACGGTCTCGTTGCAAGAGTCGACCAACCGCTGGAATATTCCAGGTCGGCATGCTACTCGGCACTGGGCCGCGCGGGTAATTTTCACTATGCCCCGTGCGCGGTGGCGACGCCGATGTCTTTCAAGCGCCGGAATAGCTCTGGGCGGGGGGCGCGCCGCGGCCAACGCGCGACCGCCCTGGGGCCCGCCCGTTGAGCGCGAAGAACGCAAGCAGTAGGGCGAAATAATTGAGCAACGTATGTCCCTGCACTCCAAGAAGCCGTGCCATATCCCCCTAGCGCGCAATCTTCGCGCGCGTGTTCTGACGCAGTGCACGCGCGCTGCGGATAATGCGCGACGGAAGCGGCATGGCCGCGAGCACCCTGGGAATCCAAGAGTGAACGGGGCTCGGGAATGCAACGCGGAAGTCGACCCGGGTCGACCGCAATCTTGACTGCCATCAACGCCCCCCCGCAGCGTATGCGCCGACGAGAACTTCAACGATGTAGTCGATCATGCGCCTGCCCTTGACGACGCCCGCATGGGCCCGGCCAACTGTGCGGCGTGCTTGCCGTGCTAAAGCCGTTCCAACGGCGAACGACGCGAAATTGTTGCGCGCGCCGGAGAGGCGGGGGCAGTGCAGTAGCAGGCGCGCGAGGAATGTCCACGCATTGACTAGGCAGCGCATTCTTGGGCAAGAAGACCATGCAGCAGCAATGAAACACCTCGGGCAGATCCTCTCCAGCAGCATGCATCGACCGCGTGCAGAATGCCGCTAGCGTGCTCCCCACCATGATGGTAATATGAGAATGGTATGCCCTCTGGACCAGGTGCGGCGTCGTGCGCGCGCTGTATCATGCCTCTGAACGCGCCGAGAATCATGTTCCACTGCGCATCGCGAGCAGCTCTGTGCGAAACAGCGGTGCCGCCCCCACTCCTCCTCCACCGCATCTTTCTCCTAGTGACCCCCCCCCCCAGCACTCGGCCAGCAGATGCCCCCTCTGCGCGGCCAGCATGGACCTGGTCATCGGGGCCAATGACGACATGAAGGACTAAGCGCCTATTGCGCGTGGCCCAGGCAGCGCGCAGGCGATGAAGCTTGTCTTTGTACGGAACTTTGAACGTTGCCCTTACCCCCCCATTTGCACCGATCTCCTCCTCCTGCGCCTGCAGGTGCGCGGCAGTAGCCCGGCGCGTGAGTCCGCGAAATCCAGCGATGTCTATCCAGTGGATGTCCTCAGAGATGAAGGCGTTGAGTTCTGCGGCAGCGCGCCTAGCCCAGCGGGCAGCGCGGCCGACAGAGCGCCCCGTTGCCCGCGTGACGGCGAAACGCCAGCTCGCGCACTCAGCCGGCGTCTCTGGACCATTCGCAGATAGCTGGCCCTTGGCGAGACTTGCAGCGTGGTGCATCGCCGCCTTCAAGTATTGCGGCCGCTGAAAAGATGCCAACCGCTAGGGAGATCGCGTGGGATTCCTGTGAGATCCCCCTGATGCGCAAGCTCGTGAACAACCAGAA